CAGTGGTATCCAAATCTGACCATTCGTTCTCCTGACGAAAACGTTTCACAATGCGGGTATGTGGTGAGGTTTCCGCCAACACTCTCGGATAAGAGAATTCTTTTTTCGAAGGTGTAGCTCCGGTCGCTGTATACGTTTTCAATTCACTACGTCTAAACGATTCCAAATCATTAACACAATGAGTCATTTGTTGTTTATACAATTGTGTATAATCTCTAAGGGAAGTTTGCTGTGTAGCATTAGTATTCTTCAATATATTCAAATGATCCTTAACACATTTTGCATGATCATCCAAAGTTAGAGTAATTTTCTCTGTGTTAGTTTTTAATTTTGTACAATTTTCCAGACGTAAACGTTTACTTTCATTTTCATAATGTTGTGTGCTCTGGATGAGATCTTGATGATATTTTGTTTGTCCTTGGGAAATTAGATTAGTTTGTTTGACCGTTTCCTGTAGCATGTTATCCAGCTGTACATTAATGGTCGAACATTTGGCAACACTTTGATCTATATAAAGTTCTGCCTGAGTAGTTAGTGAATCAACTAGAGAACAATTTTCTTTACAATCTGCAGTACGATTATTTAAATATTTCTGATTTAAAACTGAGGTCCCTTGAGAAGTGTTAATGATGTGTTGTTGACAATTTTCCAGATTTTTAACATTGTCGCCTATATTGTCATTACATTTAGTGCGTTTTTGTTGTAAAGCCTTCATACTCTTTTGGAATTCTTCCATAAGTTTTTGCTCTTCTTCCATTAAACAACGTTCCTCATTTAGATTACTATTGATTTTCTGTAGTTCTTGTAAATTTTCTAAAGATTTCTGTTTAATACCCTCTATAGTGGCATTTACTTTGTCCGTATGTTTTTCTAATTCTGTTTTATTTAAAGTAAATTTCTCAATTATACGTTCACGCATAGAATCTAAAGAAGATTTTTGCTGTTCATTGTATACCTCAAGAGCCGAAAGATTTTCTTTAATTTGTTGTTGAAATTTGTGTTCTTTTTCTTTGATTTCTTCTAATATTCTTAAAACATTGGATTTTTGTTCATCATTAAGTTGTTTAAAAGAATTTGTGAAAAACTCTTCTAGGGAAGAGGATTTTGTTAAGAAATGATCACATAAATTATCAATGTCATGAAGTTTCTTTTTTGTATGGTCTAAGAGATCTGATTGAACAAAGGTGATTTTGTCTAATGGAAAGTAAAAGGGAATAAATTGAAAAAGTAATTGAAATTGAAAAAGTAGTTTTGTTATTTGTAACACTCACCTAATTCTTGTAGAACGTCATGAGAACAAGTTTGTTGTTGAGTTTGCAACTGCTTAAGATTATCATCTAATAATTCAAAATTATCATTCATGCGTTCGGCAAATCTTTCACAGGCGGTTTGAATTTTAACATCCACATCTTTGCGCCGCTCAATAGTTTTCTGTTTAAACAAATTTTATAATTAAGAAACATTATTTTTTTTTAATAATTTAAACAAAAAAACTTACATGCAAAGCTTCTGTATCTTTTGTGGCTATATCGGCTACTTCCATTATTTTTGTTGCCTGATTTTTTAAAGTTTCTTCTGTTTTTACATGAGACTCTAATAAAACTTTCTTTTCCTTGTAACGTCTTTTAGTGGTGGTCAAAACCTTTTTCGTTTCCATTAGAGCTCCGGTTGTTTTCATAAGATTCTTTTCAATTTTATTAAGTTCTTCTGTTTTCTCCACTAGATTTAAACTGACTTCATTGAAAATTTTTTCCTTTGAGGATAATTCATCTTTTAGGGCCTTGAGCAAGAGCATTTTTTCATTTAGTTCACGATTTTGTGAATCCATTTTAAGTGTCATTTCTGTATAGGTTTCTTCCGCCAAATAAATACCATTTTTATCTCTTGCTGCCATCAGGTCACGCTTAAGTTTATCAATTTCTTCGGTATATTCTTTAAGAATGATTTTCTTTGTTAATTTTTGATTTACTTCGGGTTTATTTTGAATATTCTTGGCACGATGTGCATATTCTAGGGTGCTGAGTGTTTCTTCAATGTCCTTGTGACCTGGAGATATGGTGGCGATAATAGAAGTTTTTGTGCGACCACCTGCAAGAGACAATATTTTATAGAAAGAGAATTTTTTTTAGAAAAGGGAAATTTAGAAAAAAAATGATCCTAAACCTTTAACATACCTAATGATTCCTGTAGTAAACGTGTCAGTTTTGATTCACGATATGGTATATGTGGTGTCCTCTCCACCAGGGCAGTGATAACACGACCCAAAGTCAGCAAACTCTGATTAATATTAACCGTTTCTCTGGTACGTATACCCTTCTCATTTCCCGCCTTTGAAGCATTTTCACTACCAGCCAAATCGACTAAATTCAATTTGCCAATTTTTAACATTTCCTCACCATCAATACCATTCTCTTTAATGTGAACTAATATTGAGAATACTGTGTGGGAACGCGAAGATTGAGCATTCATTAAAGTGGCAGCAGTTTTACGACGTTCTTTACCCTTTTCCAACAGTTTATAGACATCATCTTTGCTGTGTACAGGAATTTCCTCTAAGCCCTGTATGATGACCGAACCTTTTTTGGTGCTATCATCATAGATACGTATTTTGGCGGTACTCTCATCGGAAGAGAGTAAATCACATAGTTCCTCATTGTATAATTCCAAATAGGAAATGCGCATAGAAAATTCCACTTTCATCATGCGTAATTCATCGAAGAGATGACATAAGGCTCGTGGTATGATGCCAATATCAGAATCCTACATAATTAGCAAGAAAGAAAAAACTAGTTTAACAACTTTTGTTATATTTTCGAGCACAAGGTCAAAGCATTTATAATTTTTGCTACCTGCTGGTTAAAATTTAAGCTATACTTACATCCTCCCATGATGACTTTAATTCAGCACATTGATTGCCCACCATGGTATGAGTTTTTCCCGTACCAGTTTGTCCATAGGCAAACACTGTACAATTATAGCCGGAGAGCACTTCATCGATTAAAGGACTCACTACAGCTGTATAAACATCAACTTGCTTGGAATCCGAACCAAATGCCCGATCAAAAGTAAATTTTTTTGTCAATTTCGATTCCAACGTATGACGGGTGACAATTTCCTTAGGTGATATTACTTCTATAATTTCTGCAGAACGTAAGCATCTTTCTCGCGCATTTAAGGGTCTAAAAAGCAAAAATTATTTTAAATCTCCAAATTCCTTTTCAATTGCCTTCAAATGCTTACCTGACGCGCACATAAACTTGTATATTTTGATTAGTTTTTCGTGATGGCGGCTGCGTATGGCTCGCATTTTGCCCTGAAGTATCCATTCTCATTTAAATTTGTTAAATATTTTTATTAATACCAGGAATAAAGTATAAAAATTGTTTAATTTATTTGTGTTTTTCTTTAAATTTCCAATTTAAATGTCAAGCGCGCTTGCTTTTTCCTAATACGACGAATGCTTTATGAAATGAAATTGTCATATTCGAAAAAACCGTTTGTTCGTCAAGTTTTTTTGTTTGGCTTCGTTGAGTTTTTTGTTTTTATAAGGGTGATGCCAAGTTTGTTTATTGAAGAACATAAATAAAGTTGCCATTTAAAACAGTAGAATAATGAAAAATGGCTCTTTACTATGGAATATAAATAAATTTATAGCAATTATTTATTATTTATAAAATAGGAAAATATTGTATTATTATCACATTATTAAATTTATGAAACGTTATTATTTAAATGTAACATTTTACTAAAAAAATTGTTGAACATAACATAATTATGAAAAATTTATTAAACAATTTTCTAAAAACTTAACAAAAAAAAAAAAAAAAACTTTGCAAATATTAAAAAAAAAAATAAATGATGTTCCATTTTGAATATTCGAACTAAAATTGGATATTTAATACTTTATTATCATAAACACTTTCTATATAGATAGACATTTTTATACATAAAATTTATCTAAAATATTATAAAAAATTTAAATTTTTTCAAACATTTTCAAAAATGGAATAAATATAAAATAAAGATTATATTTTAAAATTTCTTTTAAATAATGCAAAATAAAGATTATATATTAAAATTTCTTTTAAATAATGCAAAATATGCATTTATTATTAAAGTAATACCAAGTTTATTTTTTTAGCATATGGCATCTTTATTATTTATATGTGGTATTATTTTCCAGTGATTTGCTTGACATACGCAAATAAGAAGAAGTTTCAAAACAAAGCGTGAATTTAATAGAATTTTTATAAACGTTAAAAAAAGTTATTTATTTAATAAAAAACCATACTAAAATGGTTAATAAAAATAAATCAAATCATACCAAAACAAAACCATTTACAAAAACTCAACCTAATAAAAATAAAGGTGGTGGCAGAGGCACAGGTGGTGGAGCTCCATATAAAAAGCCAGCACATGGTAAAGCAGCTTTTGTAAAATCCAAAGAGGCCCAAAGACATGTAGGAAATTATTAAAAAAGTAATGGTTTTATTTATTTAATAATATTTTTTTTGCATATTTTAGGAACGTGCCAAAAAATTCCAAGAACGTCAGGCCTTAAGAGCTCAAAAACAAAAAGAATTGGAGGAGGAACGTGCTAAAGCTAAAAAGGAAAAAGAAGAAAAAATTAAACAATATAAAAAGAAACGTTTGGAGAAGACTAAAGCTATAAGTAAAAGAACACAACGTGGTCAGCCTTTAATGAAGGATCGTATGCAATTGTTATTGAAACAGATACAAGAAATGAAAAAGAATGGATAATCTTTTTTTAATATTTAGTAGTTGTTTGATTTAAATTCTAGAATTAGTATATGTAAAAATAAAAATAATTATTTTTAGATATGGATTTTATATAGGACATATTTCCTTTGACAGCTCTAACTAAATAGTAGCAAATTTTATTTTGCTAACAATATTTCTACTGTACCCTTCTGTTTTTGTTTTTTACAAGTCCAAAACAAATTTTAGTTCCTCTTGCATTTTTAATCAAATTTTGAAATAATTTTTATATTTTATTTTTCTTTAAACTTTAGTTATTTCTCAACTTTTTTAATTAATTTATATATATAGAAAATAAATTTTTAAATCCAAACCCGTTAATTATTTTATTTCAAATAACACTTTTCAAAAATTCGCTTATATAAAATGGCGCAAAATTTCCTGTTCATGTTTGAATTTGTGGTCGATGATTTGATCGTTACAAAACCAAACTATTGCGCTCCCGAAGAATTTCCCACATGCTGTGAAGTATCCTTTCGCAATAGTGTATTTGTATCGATCTGTGATCGCGAATTTGGTCAATGTCTAGATCCCTGTATGCCCAAATGCGGTAAAAGTTGTTTATTCTCATTGGAAACGCCTATTAGTGATGGCGACAAATTGCATGTGCATATCTACAAAAAGAAAACGGAACAGTGTAAGTTTTTAATAGGCTGCACGGATCTGCCGATTAAAGGTGTTTTCGATAAGGTTATGGAAAACTTCAACATTGAGAATCCTAATTGGCAGGATGTTAGTGCTAAACATGTAAAGACTCTACCAAATCCTAAGGAAGCGAAAAAGACAGCCGAAATAGTAGACAATGATTGTGATTCCTATGAAGAGGGACGCCGTGAACAATTATGTCCCACTTCGGAACTGACCAAACAACTTTTGCCTCTGTTCAATTTAAAAGGTTGCCAAACGGGCAATGTGGTTTTACTTATACGTCTAGTGGCCGTTGGTCCAGCCATAGTGTCCTCATTTACATTTTCTCGCATCTGCAATGCGGGCTGTGATAAGAAGGCTCCGAGTTGTGCACCCACGACTAGACCCAGTGGTATTGGTAAAGAAGCTTGTGATGCCACCTGTAGTCGTGCTGCTGGTGGCATGGATAATGATAATGCCCACATTAGAGGAGGATGTGGAAATGAAAATCCTAGTGTTAGCAAACAGAATAAAACTAATAATGGTTGTGTACCTTTAAGAGATCCCTGTCATAGGGAAGTTAAGAAACCAGTATGTCAGCGTTATTTTGCCTGCAATGCCGACAAGGGTAGTCCTTGTGATGAGATCGAAGATGAGTGTGAAAGATGTAAGTTTCTTATCCATTCATTTATAATGTGAGAGTATTTTACATCCCACTTGAAATTCCCCATCTGGGTATACAAAATAAAGGTTTTGATCTTGTTTTTGATTTGTTTTTCAGCTGCCAAATGTAAGGAATACCGACAAAAAATGAGTTGTTGTCCACAATCTGAACAATCAAATAATTGTTCATGTGATGAATGCATGGACGAATGTGAAGCAGGTTAGTATCGAACAATCTTTACAAATGGATCGTACCCTTTTAAAATAGGGCTCTGTAAATTAGAATCTTGACTTATAGAACCCTATTTGAGAATTTCGGGATCGGGATCGATTAATAATCGATCCATTATAAGCCTCACTGCAGAAAATCAATTAAACGAACATTATTCATTAACAAATAACATTAACGGGACAAAAATACGAATAGGTTTACATACACAAATTATTCAGAGAATTTTTTAGTGAAATGTTTGAAATGTTTTTTTGAAAAAGTATTTTGGAAGTACATATTTCAAGTGGGTGCGATTCTTTTTAAAATACAATTCGCAATCTACTACTAAAATTTTCCAATTTCCTTTTATAGCCAAAGCTAAAGCTTTACGAAAATTGCGCTATTTATTGCAAAAATACAGTGGCCAGTAAATTTTGAATTTGAAAACCAATAGAAAAGAAAATAAAAAATGTAATTTCAAAAAAATTAAATAAAAAATAGTAAAAAAGCAAAATCTAATCTTAAAAAAAGTCCCGAAACATACATAAACAGTTCAACGAAAAAAGGGTATGTTCCATTTTGAATATTCCAAATCGAATTACATTTTGAAATTATTTTTTTATTATAAATATTTTCTATATAGAAAATCCTTGTCCACCCGTTGATCCTTTCAAATATGAACCATGTTCAGCAGATACTTGTGATGATTGTGTTAAAGACCCCTGTTCACCCTGTGGCCAATGTATGCAGCCCTGTTTTCAGACACCACGTCTACCCGATCCCGGACCAGAAGCGTATGATGAATTTGAGGCCTGTCTAAATGGCAGTGGTCTGGTTATACGGGTACTCAAAGACACCCATCAAGTGGAGAATATCTGCGATGGTACAGAGGAATTTAATGATGATAATGCCAGTGACTGTAATAGATATAACGGAAAGGTAAGTTTGAATGAAAACAATAAATAATTTTATTTTTAAGATCACTTTTTTCATGTTATTTCTTTTTCAGGAAAATAACAACCTCTCCGATTGTAGTCTCTCAAACTTGATGCAACGCAGTAATTTCGCTCGTAATCATATAAAACGACGTACAGGCGGACATATTATCAATCATCCAGATTTACCAAAAATTCGTGCCAATATTAAATATTCGGGTAATGATAATTGTGATATGGAAAATTATCATGTACCCTATTCGAAAATTAAGTCATATTGTGATAATCAAAAAATAAAATCGATAACTATCGTAGTCATCGTGCCAAACTTAATCGTTATAACGAACCTAAACATCCAAAGGATGAGAAAATTGCTGCGTTCAAGTGATCGTCAAGATATACGAAATATTATGAAGGGTCTGGAAGTGGATACACGTAAAAAGGGTATCGAGGTAAGTGTTAGATTTTAGAATAAATTCGTAAGTTTGGATTTTTTCATACTTTTTTTTTGCATGTTTTCTTGGGTAATAAATAGTAATCACTAGTTTCGCTACTTGTGCCATTGCAATTACCTATGCATGTTACATTTTATTGGCTTTTTCAAGAAATAATAAATGTTTGTTCATGTATTATGTGAAATATGCCCATTCGTATATATAAAATGTCGTTATATTTGTTTGCCAACAATCGTTTTAAATTGGTTATGAATATAGTCTTCGCTATTAACTTCTATGCACCATTTTTAACGATCTTTAGTTCATATTGTTAAATATTGTCCAGACTATAGACTATTTTATAGTCCAGATTATAGACAGTTCTATAGTCCAGACAATAGATGGTGCTATATTCTAGACTATAGCCAGTTCTATTGTCCAGACTATAGACATTTCTAAAGTCCAGACTATAGACGGTTATATAGTCTGTGTTATAGACAGTTTTATAATACACACTATATATGATAGTTCTATAGTTCAGACAATAGTCTGATTTATAGACCAGACTATAGATTATTTTCAAGACTATAGACTTCTGTAGTCCAGATTATAGACTGTTCTGTAGTCCAGACAATAGACTGCTCTATAGTACAGACTATCGATTATTTTCAAGACTATAGACTATTCTATAGTCCAGATTATAGACTGTTCTGTAGTCCAGACAATAGACTGCTCTATAATACAGACTATAGACAGTTCTCTAGTCCAGCCTATTTACACACAGTTCTATAGTCCAGACTATAACAGTTCTATAGTCCAGACTATAGACAGTTCTATAGTCCAGACTATAGACAGTTTCTATAGTCAAGACTATAGGACAGTTCTATAGTCCAGACTATAGACAGTTCTATAGTCCAGATTATAAACAGTTCTATAGTCCAGACTATAAACAGTTCTATAGTCCAGACTATAGACAGTTATATAGTCCAGACTATAGACAGTTCTATAGTCCAGACTATAAACAGTTCTATAGTCCAGACTATAAACAGTTCTATAGTCCAGACTATAAAACAGTTCTATAGTCCAGACTATAAACAGTTCTATAGTCCAGACTATAGACAGTTCTATAGTCCAGACTATAAACAGTTCTATAGTCCAGACTATAAACAGTTCTATAGTCCAGACTATAAACAGTTCTATAGTCCAGACTATAGACAGTTATATAGTCCAGACTATAGACAGTTATATAGTCCAGACTATAGACAGTTCTATAGTCCAGACTATAGACAGTTCTATAGTCAAGACTATAGACAGTTCTATAGTCCAGACTATAGACAGTTCTATAGTCCAGACTATAAACAGTTCTATAGTCCAGACTATAAACAGTTCTATAGTCCAGACTATAGACAGTTCTATAGTCCAAACTATAGACCGTTCTATAGTCCAGACTATAAACAGTTCTATAGTCCAGACTATAAACAGTTCTATAGTCCAGACTATAAACAGTTCTATAGTCCAGACTATAAACAGTTCTATAGTCCAGACTATAGACAGTTATATAGTCCAGACTATACACAGTTCTATAGTCCAGACTATAAAATATATAGCGTCTCGATATATATCGTCTATCAATAGTGCAGACTATAGAACTGTCTACAGTCTGGACTATAGAGCTCTCTGTAGTCTGGGCTATAGAAATGTCTACAGTCTGGACTATAGACCTGTCTACAGTCTACAGTGCAGACTATTGATACGGTAGACGAGACGCTATATTATTTTATAGTCAAGACTAATCTGCAGTCTCTATACTATAGACTATACTCTTAGAAAGTCCATTTGATAACTAATACGTTTAATTCTTCAAGATTTTCTTCCAAGTGCATCTAAACAAATTCATCCAATGTCCATTCGCTACACAGTAATATTTTTGTGTTTTAAATTTATGTCTTACCGATATTCACAGATAAAAACATACTCATATTTAACTGATTTATTTTAAGATTTTTTACAATATTGCTTCCCACAATTCATGCTTCTTACTGCAATTATGCACAATTTATCAGAATTTCAAAATTTATAGGAGCAGATGGCAGTTAAAATGCGTTAAAATTTTTTAAACGGAATATCTTTAAGCCCCTGCTACTAAGTAAATATGTGAATGGCCTACATTTTGCCGTTAAAGGAGGAGGGAAGGATACCTTAGACTTTTAAATTAAAAAAATTAAATTAGACTTAGATTTGAATATATTAAAATCATCAATGTTTCCAATAGTATATTAAAATTTTTAAATAATTAAAGAAAGTTTAATTCGCTTCCTGTTATTTTGATTTATGTTAAATGGAACACTTCCTCCACCGCCACATTTGTTAACCACAAATTAAAACTGTAGCAATAAATGCTGCCTGCCAGCCACTTAAATAAAGCGACATGTGTGCTGCAAGATGCAATAATAGGATCACATGATTTTTATTATTTTTCTTTTTTCCTCTTACTTCAACTACTCTTAAATTCACCATGTACACCATAATTTTGTAACTCAGAAATCCAATTTACTTGTATCTTTTCAACGATTTTTCTTTTCTCCATCTTATTTGCAGGTTTGTTACAAAACCTGCGAA